GGAAAATAAATCTGTCTGGCAAATCTGTTTGGGGTTTTTTGCCTTCAATTCTGATTGCTACACTGCTGGACGGGCAAAAAAGAAATAAAAAATAGAGTCAGTTGTGACGGACGTCCTGATAGAAAAGGATTTAACTCAAACTCAGCCTTAACATCTTTAACACAGAGACTTTCTCTGCTGAAGTGTCCCGATCAAGCCTTAATGACATGTGTGTACTCTCATCAGTATCACCCTTTCATCTTTGCACCTGGTTTTCTAATCAGCCAGTCCTCTGTGCCAAAGCACAGGTATCTGCAGCGCCTCAACGAGTAAAGTTCACCACGAGTCTTTCTGCTTAATCATGCTGACAGACCAGCTGCACCGAGCACATCACACGGTCAGAGTGACCAGCCTGGCATGAAGGCTGAGACACCTTTGTGTTTGTGGGGCACCAAATGCTAACTTTAGCCCCTACTCTCCTCCTTTTTGATCTGGACCTAAAACAATCTGCAGTCTGACTATTGATTGATTTTAAGAAAGCATTTGATACAGTTAATCACTCCATACTATTAAATAAACTGCAGTTTTCTGGGATAAGGGGAGTGGCACTGAGCTGGATCAGAAGTTATTTATCTAGAAGACAACAGGTTGTGAAGCCAGGAGAATTTGCATCAGGGTACATGGAAACCGCTCATGGAGTCCCCCAAGGCTCAGTGTTGGGCCCCAGGTTATTTAATATATATATGTATTAATGACATGTTTAAGGTTAAGGTCTAAATGATCAAACTTTATATTATTTTATGATGATACTAATCTATTTTTCTGGGGATACTTATGAGGAACTTATATTAATAATATAATTAATGAATTAAGACAGTTACATTGGATGATAGTAATAAATTATCACTATATCTTAGTAAAACAAAAGCAATGATGGGATACAAATACAGGAAGAAAATGAAAAAATTGAAATAGTAAAGATGTCAAAATTCTTGATGGATACTTGATGATAAAATCAGACAGTGTCCAAAAGCAGCTCAGTCATGAACAAAATTAAACATCCTCTAGATTATAATTGTCTCTGTGCACTGTATTGTTCTCTAATTCTTCTGTATCTAACTTTGTTGTGGGGAAATAATTGTAAAAATATACAAAATTCTCTTTTCGTGTCACAAAAAAATAGCAGTTTGTATAATACACAAAGGGTATCTTCATCATACAAATTTCTGATTTCTACAGTCAAAATTATTAAAACTTCATGACTTGATTACAATTAAAGCTTGAAGTAATCTATTACCAGTTACCATCCATCTATACATTTTCTTCCGCCTGTCCGGGGCCGGGTCGCGGGGGCAGCAGCCCAAGCAGAGCACGTTGATGGTTTGGAGGAAGTAATTATTGAAGTTAACTCAGAAAGATCGATTGGAGAAAAAGAGTCTAAATGAACATCAATGGTACTGAAAGTAGCTGTAGATAATATTACATCTGTGAAATGATTATTTTTTCTCTAATGGTTAAAATTTTATTTGTGAAGAAGTTCATGAAGTCATTACTAGTTAAGCCTGTAAAACCCAACCCATCACAAAATAGCCAGCAAATTTGTGTTTGTAAATTCCGATAAATCAGAGTATTGTACTCGGCCCTAAAATTCACACAAGAATATAAAACAGTGGCAGACTGAACGATTAGTTAACCTGTCAGTGTAAAGAAGTCACATAGATAAGCTGCTGTGACAAAGAAAGAAATCTGTCAGTTTGACTGTTTATTTAAGAAATAAATGTGCAAAATCATATGAATAGTTCTGGCAGCTCAATCCCAGGAGTCCAGTTCTTTGTGTACAGCAGAAAGTTTAAAAAAACACATTTTTCTGTCATTTAATTGTTTATTGCCTGATTACTTTGTGTAGTATGAATGACCATAGGGGCGGTTCTTATCAGTAGGAAAAGCTGTAAAACTTATAAAAATACAGTTATAATTTCTGCTTGTTTGTGGGGAGCAGCAGTTGAAACACGTTGAGAATGATATATTGATTATTATGATACAGAGAATGATAAATTCAGACCTGTAGGACTCATTTAGACACTCAGTATCACTGAAACACAGCCAGGTGCTGCATTTTTAACGTTTCTGCTTCTTTGGTCAATCAAAGTGTTCATGGATTCTCAGCAGAGCTGATTCGGACCGTCTGGTTTCAGAACCTCACAAAGCGCCAAAACAGCCCTTTTCAGAGTTTTTAACAAGATATTTTTAGCTCCTGATTCTGGTGTTTTATTTTTGGTACTTTGAGATTTAACCACTGCATCAGTCGCTCCTCAGTGTGCCCAAAGCTAAGTGTAAGCTCAGAGGGGACGATGCCTTTGCTGTCGCAGCTCCTAAAATGTGGAGCAGTTTGCCCCTGCACATTCATGAGGCGTATTTTGAAATCCCGTCTCTTTGCCTGGGCTGTTGACACCTGGCTGATTTAAATCCTTTCATCATGTTTTGTTGTATGGCTGTTGACCTTCTAGTTTCAGGCTGTTTTAATTTCTGTGTGTATTTTATGCCTGTTTTTATTTTTATTTTTTACTTATTTATTCTTCTGTGGTTGTTTTACTGTCCTTTACAAATGCTGTGGCTACAGTGTAGCTGCCATCACCAGTGTGTGAATGTGTGGATGACTGAAAGCGCTTTGAGGTCCTTAGGGACTAAGTAAAGCGCTATACAAATACAGGCCATTTACCATTTTTACCATTTTACAAATAAAGCTGCCGCCCACAATGCAGCTTTATTTGCTGCATTGTGTGCGTTGATCTTGACGAAGGCGGTCGCACTTTTCTCCTCCTCCTCCTCTCCCTCAGCTTCCCTGCTTATCCTCTTGTGTCCTTGTCTAGTCTCGTGTTTTTTGTATTACTGTTCCCTGGAACACTCTCTCACAGTCTGTTCTCTAAAACCTAAAAGAGGAATTATGGATTGGATCAACTGGTCCCTAAATGCAATTGACACCCCTTTCTCAACGAGAAGTTTGGGCTCGGGTGAGCCTGAGTGCTGAAGATATCTACCTATTTGGAACCATGGTAACAGGGTTCTGATTGGAGCTGGCTTGGCCCTGACTTATCGAAGAATGAAGAAAGCGGAACCGGCTGTTCAAACCCCCACAAGGCTGCCCGCTGGGATTGGAACGATGGGACGAGGCGTGAGTTTCTCAAAATGGGCTCATTGAGTGCAGCACGGAGAAGATCTTGGAGAAGCTACGGCTGCCGTGAACACTCAGAATAAGGTCTCTGACTGCAGACTGGATGACATCTCGGGGAGGCTCACTGTGGTCGTGAGTTCTCAGAATCAGCTCCTTGAGCACAAGAAATGACAACATCACAGAACGCAAGTATGGCGAAGCTCGCGGCTCTCCAACGGGAGATTGAGAGACCAGTGTTGGACTGTAGAACTGCTTTGAAATTCATATGAGATGTTCGCACTAAAGTAAAAACCACCAGCACTTCATGCGGAGACCCCTTTGGCACCAGCTGTGGTCTCAAGGCTGGAGCCGAACAACAACAGCCTGATAACGACTGTGTTTAGTCTGTTCCTTCCCATTCCATGCAAGGCCACCTGGGTTGGCTGGTAGACTGTTTACTTAGCCTGGCAGGGCGAAGGACACTGTCTCAGCTGAACTCTGGACACACACACACACACATACACTGATATGTACGCACTCATCCCCCCTCCAAACGCCTTTGACGCTTATTCCCCTCCGATGCTGACGGTGGATCAAGGAGACCAGCGCACAGACTGCAGGCCCGGATGTACTGCCTACATCGGCTGTCTCTCACCCTTTACCCCCCTGCTGCTTGTCATGTGTTTCTTTGGTGTATTAAGAGTGTTTCATGTGCAGAGGTGTTTTTTCTGTTCTCAAACTGATCTCCCTGTTGGAGCTCAGTCTGGGGGGAGTTCTTTTTTCTCCTTATCTTTCCTCATGTGGTGCATTTCCCATTGTTATACCTCTCTGACCTGTCTTCCCTATGTGATGTTTGTGTAATGTATGTGTGGTCGGAGGGTAAGATGGCGCCGCCATTGCGTGCAATAGGTTGGCAGCCTTATGAAATTTCCCCTTGTGGGACTAAGAAAGGTAAATCAGTGAAAGTGGAAACTCCAGAAACCTTTTGCATGAAGGTGTAGCTGCTGTTCAGTGGCATGTTATGTTTTTCAGGAACTAGTTCACCAGCTCTTCACAGTCAGAAACGTCTTTCTACATACTGTGAGTGTTTTTGAAGCTCAGCGTTGGGTACTGATGTTCTCCTCATGAACTGGCTTCGGTAAACCCTTTGACCCACCGTCTCAAAAGTTTGTCTGACCAGAGAGACGTGTGGAGATAATCCATGCAAATCAGGATGTTTTCCATTCAAATGTGTTCCTGGCACAACCTGTTTTTGTTTTCTTACAGTCATCATTCCAAACTCCAAGCAGATCTGATTTGCACATCACATTTGTTAGGACGCTGTTAATGAACAGGGGAGTGTCACTTTCTCTCTGAGCTGCTCAGGCTCTTTGAACTGTTCTGTGCTCTTCATTTAAATCCAGACGTGATCACATTTTCAAACTTTGGAACAGCTTTCCTCTGGTCACTGAATCATTGGAAAAAAAAACCTTTGCAGTTTGCAGTGATTTGTATCGTGTTAAAAAAATAATTCTTACCAGTTGCTAAACTGATTTAACCAATCAACAAATATGAGATGTGAGCCCCTCCCAGCTGTCACTGGGTCAGCTGATCCAGGCTTATATAACTTTTAATGTAAAGTAGTTTTATTTCCTGCTGCAGCTGAGAAGGAACAGATCCTGCTTTTCCATTGGCTGTGCTTTGCATGTACATCACAGGTGTTACTGAAACAGAGTGAATCCAGCAGCTCTGTGTTTGATCCTCCATCAGCTCTTCACTGTAATCCAGATCTCCTAACATGATGCTCTGCTCCGGACTCAGCAGCACACTGTGTGAGTACAACACACTGATAATCCTTTATTTAGACATGAAATCAGCTGCACATGTTCAGTCTAATCCTTTTCTAGCTTTCCACTGTGCTGTACTGTGACATGCTTTTCTTTCTGCTTTATTGGATCAGTTCATCTAACATCCTAAATACATGTTTGCATCACCTCAGCAGGACAGTTAGGCTTCACAGAGTCCTGAGAGCAATTCATGGCTGATCATTTACTTTGAAGAGTTGAAGTCAAACTGTCAACACAAATAAGTTTATTGACAAAAGTTGGAAAGATGAAGAGAATAAATGTGTCATTGAAATCTGCTGTTTAGAAAGAGTTTTCCAAGAATCCAGGTGTGAATGAAAGCAGCAGCTTTCTCCTGTTTGCTTTTCATTTCTGTTTCATGTTTTGAGGTGAATTCAACTTGATATCAAACACACAGTCTGACACTGAGCTTTCTTTCTGTCTCTTTCAGTGCTGGCAGCAACCTGTTCACTCATCACTTCAGGTAAATGAGTTTCAACCAGCTGACTCTGGACCAGCTCTTTATCCGCATGAGGATTTTCAAGGGTTACTGGAAATTTCCTGCCAGTTAACATGTGTTTCAGCATTAACCAGGGGATCCTGTACAGGAGCTTTGGGAGTGTGGGTTTTTAGAGTCACAGGCTATTTTATCCCCATTCAAAAGAAACATTTCAGGCAGTGCAATGTGAGAAGACCCCCGGGCCAATCCCAGGACACGCCTCAGACAGTGTGTCTGTCTGACCTGGGATGTGTCCCCCCAGAGCTGTTGTTACTGGGGAGGGAAAGGTCTGGGTATGTATGTTTAGACTGATCTCAGAGTGTATAGGTCTGATTTGTTTCAGACATAAATTCTAAAAGCCCCCCTAAAAATGTGGAAAATTAAAAAATATTCAGTATATTTCCTAGACTACAATGGTTTAAAATACTTCCTTTTCTCCTGTTCCATGCAAACATTTCATAGAATTAATTCACTCAGTTTTTCTGCATTAGCTGATTTGCATCTGCAGAGCATTTGCATTTTACATGGAATGGCAGCAGGTCTTTTGTTTTTAACTTTCATGTAAAGCAGCATCATGGAAATTGTTCACCAAGTTTACAGATGAATGAATATTATAAAATCCCAATTTATATAATAAAATATGAAGTCAAAGAAGAAGCATGAGCACAGGCATCATCATCCAGCACTTTAGCAATAAGAATTATTGACTTTTACGGCTTTTGCCATACTGGTCCTCCTCCTTGTCATAGTTTATTCGATTATTATTCTTTTTATTTTAAGTTATTACAATCAGAGCAGAAAGAGATGGGAAAGAGAAAGAAGAAGAAAAGAGAAGTTGGGAAGAGAGTTAACAGATGGAAAACAGAAGAGAGAGAAAGGAAGCTGAAGGTGATCATTGTGTTTGATGACCTGCTGAAGAAGCAAACACAAAACAACACAGTAGGGAAACCATAGCAACAACCAGCATAAGCACAAGTAACAGTAAACAATAAATATTGAATATCACTGAGCAGCACGCAGTGCTAATAATGCAGGATATGTTTAGAGGCAGCAGCCAGCCACACAGACAGGATAACGAGAGGATGGGCAACAGGTGGGCCTGTCTCAAAATGCGTCTTTGTGCGTACTTGTGTTCTCGTGATACGTCATCAGTCGGAGACCAAGTACTGCTCCAATTCAAAGTACGCATCAAGGTGAGAATGAGAAAAAGTCCCGGATGTGTTCTCCGCCCGTTTTATCGAGCATGCATCGGTGGTGACTTGTGTGGACTTGGTACAGCTAAATATCCCAGAATGCATTTCGTCCAAAACTCAAATGCAGCAATGGCGGACGAGCGGGCGGGGCTAAAAACCTTTAAATATTACTCTTTCTGGGTCACAAAATAAACTTTTAAGATATTTTCAGGCTGTGTAAGCTTCAAATATCTGCTCGATTTATCAAGATATAACGTTTCCAAAAGTGCTCCGACGTTTTCAGAGACGTCTGTTACTCCATACTCCAGCTCCATAGCAGACAGGTCGAGGATTATTCGAGCCGGCGAGAACAGCGGACTCCCGGGACATCGTTTCAAACCCCCCCACGGTCTTTCGCTATTCAGGTTAACATGATATATAAGTCACTTAGTTAACTTCGATATGTTAATATTTGGTTTATTTCAGAATTTTCTTTGTTCTTGAGTAAATCGGTTTGGCTGAGATTAAAGTTCAGCTTCATAACATATTAATCACAGTTAAATTAGGAGGGGACCTGTGACATCATCAAGTACGCTGGTGTTCCAATTGTACAAATTGCGAGTCCGTGCTCGGACCTGCCGAGAATGCGAGCACGGACTCGCGTACTTGAGAATTGAGAAAGGGCTTTGAGACAAGGGAAGCAAAGCTGAACACAATGCAAACAGGACGAGACCATCAAAATAAGACAGGACACACAGAGACTCATACTCAAGAGACATGAGCTTGACACAAAGACTGAGGAGGAGAACACATAGATGAGACCAAGATGACCAGGACAAGAACACTAAACACAGAGACATGAGTTGGTTGACAACGAGACCGACACACATGGAACGTGCAACCCCGGGGAGGCCGAACCTAAAGACCAGAACCTACAAATATATCATAAAACAGAGTATTACTTAAACCAGAATCCAACGAAACAAATATATTAGGACTGGATCACAGACCCAGAACCATGACAGAACCCCCCGCCCCCTTAAGGGTTGACCTCCAGTTGTCCCAAACTAAACAAATACAGGAAAACCTGACCAGGGTGGGTGGAGCAATCTGGATGAAGGGCTGGGAATATTAGGATAAATATTCCAAAACAAAGAAGCAACAGTTCAGCAGGCTGGTCATGAGGCCAGTGGCAGAGACCAATCAGTTTAGGAGACTGTGTGGAGACCTCTGGTGAACTCTGGTGGAGATGGATTTAGCAGGAACCGTCTAGTTCATGTTGGTGTGACCCAGGTTAAGGCAGCGGTGTGGCATATGCTGCTTGCTGGGTCGGTTCAGCTGAGCTCCCAGCAGACGCAGGGAGACATTTCCAGGGGTCCAGACTTGGCTGAGGCCTTGAACTCAGGCTCTGGGTGGGCCCCAGGGACAGTTTCGGTCTCTGGGAGAATCAGTCTTGCAGCATCACAAACATCTTGAAACACACAGTCTCTGAATTAAAAAGTCCAGGTACAAATCAGAGAGAGCTGCCTGAGCCACAAAAACAGAGTGTGCAACATCACAAATTGTCTTTAAAACATCAGGTTGGGGAAAGAAAACACAGTTTCTGAGAGCTGGGAAACACACAGTTCAGGTTTTTCCAACTCCGGCAAAAAAGAAATTGTCCTCTTGTCTGAGGGCCCAGAAACCTCAGACATGTTCTTGTCAGGTCACGGAAACAAAATGTACGACTCTATAACTGTGCTGCTCAGAAGCAGAGTTATCAGGAGCACAACTGATGGATTTTAAGCTTTCAAAACAAGAGCCTGCAATCTGTGACCTTATATAAGAAACACAGTTGTCATTAATTTACAATTTACACATTTAGTTTTTAATACAGGCTTTATCAGAGCTGAACTTTCTCTCCTCCCACAGGGTCCCGCATATCCACAGGGAGAGTGGTCACCTCTAATGGCCTCAGTGTCCAACACCTGAGCTGCGGTAAGCTGGACAACCGTGTCCAACAATTCACTGCAGTGAGTTCTCTTTCAAACATTCGCTTTGGTGTCTCTGCGTTGTCCACAGAAGCCTTTGTGTCATTTATGTGGAAATAAAAATCCTGTCTTTGACCACATTGCTCCTGGCTCTCGCATCGTCAGTGATTCTTGAGATAAGGGACAAAACACGTCCGCCGATAAAACCCGATTTTGGGGTTAAAAATATGCACACAAGTGTTAACCCAGCTGACTAAGAGACAAACCAAGGCGATGTTTACACAACAAAAGTATGATTTTGTGTTTTGTTATGCATATATATTTACTTTAAATGGTACAATACATTACCAGTACCCTAGAAATCCACTGTCCACAAGCAGGTGTGATGATATTAAAACAGAGA